GAATAGCACCCAAAACCGTAGATAGATCATGTGTGTGTTACAAGATCTTTTTAAATAAATAATTCGTAACAACATAATCGATATGATATTTTAAATGAATTATTTGTTGCCTATCATTTCGAGTGATTAAGATAGAAAGCTTAAATTTATAAACTCGCACATTCGGAATTGTATATTTTTTATTGATTTTCTATCCAAATAACACCCAGACAGTTGACTTACTTGATCTGGATTACAACAGTATTATAAATTCTGAAATTAATATCAGTTCTCTCTCTCCCTCCTTCCCCCCTTTTTTTATGTAAACACAAAGAATTTTGGTATATCCACATTAGTTTCTATATTCCAAAAAATAATCCACTGGTAGTTGAACCCGGCTTCAAATCTATGCGAATGGGATCACTGCACGTGAGATTTCGTGGTTTTCTACATGCATATTGTGACTATGAGTCAGATGTCCTGATAAAATCTTCCACAAAGGCATCCTTTCCTTAAATATATAGCGTTCGAATGCCTTACCATAATATAAAATTAATTATGAGATGGAATCTTCATTTAAGATATAAACCTAAATATAGAAAAGATATAAAAGATAAGATCCTAAATATAAATAAAGAAAATATTTAGAAATAAGATCCTAAATATAAAGATATAAACCTAAGTATTTTGTTCGAACCCCTACTTAATTTAGACATTATAATACATTTTCGATTAACTGAAACACATGGGATTAGAAAAAGATGGATTTTCACAAATTTATTATCCATCTATTAAATACGTATTTTTATAAAGGTTCTTACAAGTAAACTTAATTTATAAAATTATTAATTTTTAAGATGTAGAAATTTAATTTCTGTACATTTTCAATATAACATTAAACATTTTATTTGAACAAAAAACAATATTTTTGTAGCAAAACAGATATAAAAACTCGTTTTAAACTCCAAAATAAATATTATTAATTTTTAACTATCCCACAATTTTTTAAAAATTAATAGTTGTTTAATTGTTTATTAATTAAAAACTTTTCATTTGCGTTTATATATCATAACTAGGAATAACATATTGGCAAAATTGAATCGCTTTGATAAGCCCAAAGGATAGAAACAGAGTGAATAAAATAACCAAGCCTCGGGTGGAAGCAAGCTAGAATAGATGAATAATAAGGCTAATTTAAATGTAAAATACACCACTATCAGTATTGGAATAATTTTTCGTTGGAAAAAAGTACAATTGAAACATAAATCGAAAACTTTAAAAACATACTTCTAAAAGCACGTGCATTACGCTTATGGAAATATGTTTGCGATAGGCAACTGAAAGTTGTCAAAAACTGTCATGAATATATGCAGTCCATTTTAATTCGACTTTGCATATGTATGCGAAACAGATTTTCACCGTTTAAGAGTTAGATAGGCAAAACAACTATTTAAATTGACCGAATTTTACACTTGAACTCTCATCTTCGACAGAATGTTACGCTATTTAGTGAAAAGCTAATTGGAAGGATTAAAAAGAAAAGACAATTTTTAATTGAGCCACTGCAGTTAATATCAAGCCAATTCTTCATTTTTGAACTAAAATTGGTTCAGTATTCGAAAAGTTTTAAAAATACCATATTTAGTAAATCTATTAAATTTTGTTCCATTAAAATTTCTAAATTTGACTATTATTGAATCCCTAATTTATAAAATTTTGTTTTATTTCGTTTTCGCATTCAGTTTTAAATAACGGTATTACTAGACTATAAGTAACCCCCCCCCACACACACACATATCATTCAAATGCTAGAGACTATTTCCCAAATTACTGCGTGTTATTTAAAGAATTTAAAATGTGAAGGCATTTTATTCTGGGCCTTCTCATAAGCCCATCATTATAGTGATTAATCGTCAGTTTCCATGACAATGATAATGCCACCAAAAGAGAATTAAGTGAATTATGTAATGTTCGTATTTGACGCCAACTGAATTTGAACCGTGTAATTATTTTTTATAATCGAATATATGTAATACCTTATGCACTTACTTGATACTTTATAATCGAAACGATGCATTGCGTAACTGCAAATTGTAATATAATAATTTGTGTCTTAAGTAGTGTTAAAAAATCAAAAATCAAACACAAAAATAATGAAATAATTCCAAATTTTACTGTGCATACATAAATTGCATATACGATAACATAAATTACATATACGATAATATAAATTGCTTATACGATAACATAAATTGCATATACGATAACATAAATCCACTCCCAAAATAATTTTATTAGCAGCACTTTCTATATATACTTCCAGTGATATTGTACAAATACCAAAATTTCTTTCTGCACCAATGGCTTAAGTTAAAGGCTTAATGCATTTGATTTTGGCATAATGTTTTTAAATGATCGCTGGGGCTGTCAAGTAACCGCCACCACTTTTGTAACGTTAAATTTTTATGCATGTATACCTAGTAGGTTAAGTAACGCAACAGTAGGAAACATTGACGTAATTATTCAGTATGAAAACTGAATAAAACATACAGTATAAATATAAAGTCTTACCTGTAACTCATTAATATGTAAATCGATTTGACAAGTAACAAGAGCTAAACAAATGTAATGTAGAATAGAATCTCAAATAGAAAAAATAAAATTCTTCAATTAATACTAGCATCAATAACTGTTAATGAGTATATAAGCACACTCGAAGTGTCCACCAGCGGCCGAGCAGTAAAATCGCTGAACACTGGTAGCTCGGTCCGAGGTTCGAATCTCGCGAACGGGCTGGCTGCATGGGCATTTTCGTGGTTTTCCCCATGCGTAACGTGTATACGAACCAGTTTCCCTTAGAAAGTCCTCCACGAAGGCATCCTTCCCTGAGGCAGATAGCCCTAGTGCGCTTTGCCATAATTAAATAAACCAAACCAAACCAGACTCAAAGTATGTGCATCGTATAAAATGAATTGCAGGATATATTGCACTATGAAAATTGCACATTCATTAAGTTATTTTGATAGTATGAGACCTGAAAAATGCACAGCGCCCTCGCCGGGATTCGAAACTGCTGTATTTCGAATACGCGTCGAGTGGGCTACCGTTACGTCACGAAGACATGCTGAAAGGAGGGAGAAAATACCTCATATATTCCCTTTTTTAAAGGGCAACTAGGGATTAGGGTTCCCAATCGCCCAAATCCTGCTGGTGACAAATTATTGTCTATCACCTTTTAGTTCGGGCGCCACTGTAGAATTATTAGGCTATTTTGAAGCAGCAGATGTGAAAAATGTTCAGTGCCCTTGCCAGGACTCGAACCTAGTTCTCTCGAATACGCTACGAGTGTGCTACTGTTACACTATGAAGACATGCTAAAAGGAGGGAAAACTGGTTTCTCGAGTAACAATGGTATGCTGGAAGCCGAGAAAAAGTGCTTTATAAAGTAAAAACGAGTTTGAGGCATAAATAAGTGCTGGTTTAGGAGTGGACGTAATGTCGTGATGGAAATTCTTGGTGTCTCTTTACGGCAAGCTATTCGGAACTGTGTGGTTAGCCACACATTTCGGCAGAGGTCGGTGTTGATTTCTTATTGGAATTATATGGAGGTGAGAATTCGGCAGCATAATGGGACAATACGTATATGACATATTGTTTAGATTCAAGTATCTTTCATATTTTTACCTGAGGTAACCTTGTGGAGACCTTAAAAGACTTAAACACCGTGAGGAGATTATTTATCTACAGCAGCGGTTCCCAACCGCTGTTCCGCGGCACACCAGTGTGCCGTCTGAAGCACCGTGATGTGCCGCCGGGTCTGGGTGTCACGGGGCTGTTCGCCCGCTATAACTCCTCCCGTCACTCCCCCCGCCAGTGTCATAGGTGGTCACGGCGCTGTGCAGTGCTATAACTCCTCCCCCTGCCAATCTTGACAAGTGTCCGCCGTGTCCCCGCCCCCATGAGACGCAATCAGACGCCTCACACAGTGTCAGAGAGACAACGGCTGCTGTAAGGAGAGAGACACTGATACTGCAGTGATTGACAAGTTTTTGAAAAGGAAAGAACTGGACTCTGAACAAAATCTGGAGCCAGATGAGAGCCCGAGTATGAGTGGGGGTCAAAAGAAAGCAAAGATGGTTAAATTCTCTGGCGCAAGGCAATATAGCGAAAGCTATATTTCAGTTGGATTTACTTTCACTGGAGATGAACACAAACCAACTCCACTGTGCGTGGTGTGTGGTGAAAAGCTAGCTAACAGTGCTATGGTCCCAAGCAAACTTAAACGCCATCTCCAAACGAAACACCCTTTGCTTCAAAACAAGAATGTGGACTATTTTGTTCGCCTGCGTGACAACATGGAGAAACAGGCAACTTTTATGAGAAAAACAACAAAGGTAAATGAAAGAGCTCTTAAAGCTAGCTATCAAGTTGCTGAACTTATAGCCAAGACAAAAAAGTCGCACATTGTGGCAGAGACATTAATACTTCCTGCCTGCAAAGCTATTGTAGAGGAGATGCTCGGACCTGAAGCAGCAAAGGAAATAGCCAAAGTCCCTCTCTCAAACAACACAATCTCCAGACGTATTAATGACATGTCTGCAGACATCGAAAGTGTGGTTTTGGAAAAGATCCGTATCAGTGAGAAATTTGCATTGCAACTTGACGAGTCTACTGATATCAGTGGACATGCTCAACTCTTAGCTAATGTGCGTTTTGTTGATGGTGATGCAATTAGAGAAAACTTCTTTTTTTTGCAAGGTATTGCCAGAAAAAACAACAGGAGAAGAAATTTTTCGGGTCACATCAGAATACCTTGAACAAGGAGGACTTAAGTGGGAAAACTGCACAAGTGTCTGCACCAATGGAGCTGCAGCCATGGTCGGGCGCACCAAAGGCTTTGTAAGCAGAGTGAAGGAAAGAAATCCAGATGTGATTATTACGCATTGTTTTTACACCGCGAGGCCCTCGTAGCCAAGACTTTACCATCAGCCTTAGTTCATGTGTTGGATGATGTTGTGCGCATGGTAAACATTGTAAAGTCACGACCCATGAAAAGTCGCATATTTGCAGCTTTGTGTGAGGAGATGGGAGCAAAGCATAAAACCTTGCTGTTTCATACGGAGGTCCGGTGGTTGTCGCGTGGCAAGGTCTTGGTTCGTGTGTATGAGCTGCGGGAGGAACTTAAAGTGTTTCTGACAAATGAGGGGTCAGATTACGCAAAGCAGCTTGCAAGTGATGAGTGGTGTGCAAGGCTGGCATACCTGGCAGATATATTTCATCATCTGAATGAACTGAACACCCGAATGCAAGGCCGAAATGAAAACCTGCTTACAAGTACAGATAAAATAAATGGATTCCGTTCAAAGGTGCAACTCTGGCATCAAACACGTGGAAAGTGGCAATCTTGAAATGTTCACACTCACCATGCAATGGCAAGGTGTTCACACTGCCTGCACTGTGTGAGATAATAGTTAAGCATTTAAAAACTCTTGAGGAGAAGTTGTCATTTTATTTCTCTTCAGTCTCCACTGAATGCCTTGACTGGGTTAGGGACCCTTAAAGCTCAGCATCAGTTGTTGGAAAGGAAATGACTTTACAGGAGCAGGAGGAACTAATTGAACTGAGACAAAATCGTGGTTTCAAGCTAAGATTTGTTGATCTACCTTTGGACAGTTTTTGGTTGGATACTGCCAAGGAGTTTCCCCTTCTGGCAAACAAAGCTATTTTGACATTGCTCCCTTTTTCCACTACATATCTGTGTGAGATTAGCTTTTCAAGCATGATTGCTATGAAACCAAATACAGAGAGAGACTGAGAACTGTTGACGAAGAGCTACGTGTGTGTCTTTCTTCGATTCCAGCCAGAATATCAGCTTTGTGTTCAAGCCAAACAGGCCCAGGTTTCGCACTGAAAGTATTTTATAATTTTTCACTATTCTGTTTACTTAATATTTTCATAATAAAGTAATTATAAAATACTTTCTTTGTGCTTATTTGATTCCTATTCAAGAGAATTACTTTATTATAGTCAATATAGGCACAGAGTTGATTTTTTAACATTTTCTAATGGTGGTGTGCCTCGTGATTTTTTTCCCCGCGACAAGTGTGCCTTGGCCAAAAAAGGTTGGGAAACGCTGGTCTACAGTATCTGAAAGAAAGGATTTGGCAAAGATGTTGTCAGGTTAGAACACCGATTTAGAACTGTGGTCTCACAGATCCAGTACAGTAGAAGATGCCACTCCAGTAGCATGCGTTTGGGGTGAATCTATGAAAACAGAAATCCAGTAGAGGCAGTAACTGCAGCAATGCAGTTCGTTGATAGATCATTTTAGGCACGTTGTGCGTTGTGCACGTTAGCGTACTTCATTTACAGTACATTGTAATACGTGCTTTATGTTATGACTTTCGAAATGGTATTTTCAATATTGTTATAAGAGTCTTGCAGCTTTGGTACTGACATAGTATGCTACTTCAAGATGCAGTCCACAGTAAAGCTGCAAATGACTATAATATAAATTGAGGAAAATTAAAAATTATTATTTGTTCGAAAGATCCTCAGAAATGGATTTATAAAGCTCAATTTTTTAAGTTTCTAAGAAGATTTATAACCAGAACTTAATTTGTATTGCTTTATATTACGTTAGATTATAGGATTTTATTCGAATGTCTCGTAACTGGCATCTCGACTGCAAGTCATGCGCTCTAAAGACGCGTAATTCTGAAATGATTGATATTCCTATATTTAAGACGGTAAAATTCAATGGTTATGTCATAGATAATGTGGTGCGAATGCTTATGCTTACAAACCCCCCAGCAATCATGTAAATAATCCCCTTGAACTGTCAGCATGCGCAACATATTTGTGCGATTGCGTTTCTTACCAATGGTTATGCTTTTGCGACTTCGCAAAATTCTGAGTCCTTTTGTTAAAAGTAGTTTGGTTTGCCATCTTTTTCCCGATCGGATTTCGAAATGTATTTTTGAAAGTATATTTTTTCTGTGGAGATGAAAGCTAAAATTCTATTCGGCATACACTTAGATTGGAAGCCATCTTGGAGGCGTCTAGTAATTCTCAAGGCAATTGCGTAAGCGAAGGATTAAAATGCAAAACTCTTCTTAGAAGCATTTTTATGAAGCTATGACCAAGCTACACGATTATTTAGGGAAAATCACGAATAAAAGACTTCTTTTTCTATCTTGGGGAGGAAGATATGTATTCTACACAAAAAATTTAATTGAAAACATATGCTTCCCCCCAAAAAAGGGAACAAAGAGAAAAAGATTAAGGAAAAAAAAAGAAAGAAAGAAAGAACCGTGCGTTACTACTTTTCATCCAGATTGGTCTTTTCGATGTTCAGGCTTTCTAAAAGTCGCGAAATCTTGATAATCAAATTTCATAATAAATGTGGCCATTCTGATATTTAGGGGCTATAATTAATTTATGTCAAAATTAAGGTCTAATAAAGAAAGCTATTAAAGCGCAGTTTTTTATAGTTATTAATGCATTTTAATGAAATAAAAAGAATGGTATAAAAATTAATACAGCAATGATGTATAACATACTTAATAATGCAATTTTAACATTAAAAAAGCTCTGATATAATTTTCATCTAATTTTTTTTTTTTTTTTTTTTTTTTTTTTTTTTGTATCTGGTGCCTGAAATGCTGAAATGAGTGAATACTGAAATACGTAATCTTTTTTTGCCATGAGATAAGAATTTTCAAAAATATTTTCTGATACTTCAAAACTGTTCTCATTATTGATAAGTCAGATATGCTCGCGTTGGAACACTATGTCATAGAATTTAATTCTAGTTCTTTTTACATTTTATTAGTCCATAAAAAACAGCAATGACTAGACAAAATCAGAACTTCTTGACCTTTAATAAGAGGTTAAGCTACCCCAAGGAAATGCGCTTCGAATAACAGTAGTAAAAGTAATAATAAAAGAAAGATTTCGTGACAAAAATCTCGGATTGTAACTCTTCTCTTCTCTTATAACTCTTCCCAGGCGTAATGATGAAATAAATGTTAAGAAAGATCGTTATCTACTATTATCAGATAGTCCCATTTAATCCCCGTAAGGAAGAAACACCTGCCGAAAGTTCTTGGGAATAATAACAGAAAAAGGAAGAAAAGGGGAACAAAAGCGAGGAGTAAAGACATTAAGAGACCAGAATTCCAGCGATGTCTCATTCAGGTGCGCAGATGACTCTAGATTTTCGTGAAAGATTGTGTACGATTGTGAGTCCAAATATATGTGACATGTTGTGTATATAAGTAGGTGATTAGTGAGTATGAAGAAAAGTATGAAAGCATGATTAACATAAATTAAAATTTTATTCTGTTGCTTCAAAGCATGGAGGTAGGAAAGGGAGAGGGGCCAACCCGCGCTAAAAGTGAAGCACTGCTTTGAAGCTTGGGTCACCAGATGGGGTGTTCTTTGTTTACATTCAGAAGCTCGCTTGACAAGATTCTGATAGTATTTCGACACACGACAGTTCCATAGAAATCGAAAAAGGGACACTTTCGCATGAAAGAAACATTCATAGTGTGATGGATAATAGCAATTTGTATAGTTTACTGACATTTACGCAAAAATCACATCTTGGTTATTTTTCGATAACTAACAACAGCGATTTTGATTATGAATTTGTTTTATAAAATTATAAGCTGTTGCACTACAAAAATATAGATTTTAAGAAAAATGTTATGCTTAAAGAATGAAAAATACCTTACGGTACATTTAAAATTGTATACGTCTTTCGATACCCTTGGTAGAGTAATCGCTACTTTTATTTTATTTTCCAAACGTCAAAATGTTTTAAATAAAACACATTTTTTTCACATCCACATATTATTGTAACATGTACCTTTTAAAATTTTTTAGAGGAGAGGCTTTACTGCTGCTCATTTTAAACCCATCGTTTTAATTTTATATATCTGAAAAATAATCACTTTGGGCTTACACGTTTTATAAATATAAAATTATGTATGTTAAAATATTTGTAATTAGGCACATAGGTCAGATTAAGTTTTTATTAAATAGAGTAACGCATGCAAGGGCTATCTGCCTAAAGAGAGAGATGCCATCGTGGAGGAATTTTGAAGAAAAACTGACCTTTGAGTGGGTATTAAAAATAATACTTATAATTTTCATTCAAATTATATTCATATATATTTTTTATGTAAAACTTTCGGGTGTATGCTAAATTAGTGTAAATTACTTTACACGAAAAATATAGTGAATGCACAGAAATTAAAGATTTGCACATGCCGGAAATGAAAAATAGGAAATATGTATGGGTATTTATGCATGTGCTTGCAAAAAGCATGTATCTGCCTTTGACAAAATACTTAAATATTCATTAAATTATTTATAAATGTATTTGAAATGAAGAATTTATTCACTTATAAACAACTGTGAAAGTACTGTGAAGAAATCTAATGATTAAATGTATCTAATTTATAATGATTATAAATGTTATCTAAATATATAATAACCTTAATATTGAATTGTAAACATAAATTGAAATCCTGTTGACAAATACGTTTATAAAACTATTTAAGCAAGAATTGTTCGTATTGGAAAGCAATCTGTTAAAAGGTATTGTAAAGCAAATGCTATGAGATGCGCACTTAAGAACGTAATAAAGAGTTTTGGAATATGTATTGTTGAAATGAAGGGTAAAAAAAATCTGATAAGTATAATTAAAAGAATTATTCCCCTTACATTTTATAATAACTCAGTTACAAGTTTTAAATAATACTTTAAAAAAAAAAAAAAAAAAAACCTTATTTTATTCCCTTTCAGAAATGTTCAGAAAGTCAAGTACTATTTAATACCTATTTAATTATTAGCAATTAGCGAAATACTTATTTAAAGTATTTCGCTAATTCCTAATAATTCTCTAATTTAAAATGAACCGAATAGAGCATTAATTATAAATTGACTTACATTTTTCGATTTAAAAAATGCCTCAGAAGCCAAAAAATCATGTCATATTTAAGAAAGTATTTTAGGAAGAAGCTCTATAAATAGAAAAGAAATAATGCATAATTTTAATATTAATAATACAATAAACTTTGATCTTAATTTTTGTACCTTAACCGAATAAAATCGAATTACCTTAATTTTTTTTTCTAATGTAATTAACGAAAACTTGTGAAAAATATTTCATTCAAATTAAACCATTCTGAGAAAACTGTCCTGTGAAAAGTATAGCATTTAATTCCGTTCAGAATGAAATGTTGTTTAAAAATATGTTGTTTTCACATACTTAGGACTCTGAAGTGTTGTAGAAAAAGAAAATATATACATTTATATGTATATTTACGACGTAATTACAAAATATTTACATCCGAACGCGTCAAATCCCATAGAACTCAATGGTAAATGACCCAATGTT